GTAATTCGGGACTCTTGCTAGAATGAGTTTCTGACTTTTGATTCTGTGAGAAGTTCCTTTCTCGTATACTGTTGTACGTGTCTTGAGTCGTGGGTTTGAGACTCGGACCCTCGTCTAGACGCGCATAGGTTTTCCTTTGGAATTACTGCCCTGCCTTGTAGTGTCACTCGCATCCGTGTTGATAACGAATGTGTCATTTAAGTCAGGGTAGGCGATCAAAGTTTCTTTGCTGATTATCTTCTTCATCTAGCTATATTCTGGCTAAGGCCCTGTCTAGTCTCTCGGTGTCCCATCCACTCGTGTTAGTAGAGAGAAGTCAAAGACGACCGAAGCGATGAGCAGTTGAACTCGTTAATCTCGACTGAGGTCATCCATATCTACGATCGTCGTGAAAGAGCGGAATCAGTTCTGATAGCACAATGGATCGCCATCTCTGTTTAGTCGTGGTGTATCTTCACTCTTGCTTTTTAGGAGCTTTTGTGGGAGATTCATTGGTCCCGGTAAGCTAGCTTCCACAGTGGCAAAAAGCACCAAAACCAAGGCAATTCCGACTAGGCAATTCAGTAAGCAGGTTCCAGCCCTTGTCCCTGGTCCACCTTATTCCAACAGAAATAGATTGAATTTCCAAGACCTCTACTAAGGTCCAGATTCATCTTTGTGGTTTCCAAACCACAGTTGAGTCAAGGATTAATGCCCTGCTACAAGAGCTGAGATACAGTGTAACCACCAAGTACAGCCTAAACCTCTTCCTTGGCAGAAAGAAAGCAACCATGTTACTCTACATACCCACAGTAACCCCTCCACCATCACGGAAGGACTCGAAGGCTAGAGAACCAAGGAAACAGGCTAGCCCATGAACAACTAGCCACACTTCCCCTACAAACCGGGAGGATACGGTTCAGGCCATTATGAAGAGTCTGGATGCGAAGCACACCTCTATCCAAGCCCTTGGCACTACCCTTGATAGTGTCATTGAGGAGCGACAGTTGTGCATTCGTCAGCTGCTTGACAGGTCCCTTAGTCGAAACCTCGGAAGAATCACGGGGGAAAAGCGTTTGCTCAGGCAGAAGCAGTCCTGCTCCGGACTAGAGGGCATCACCGGTTATCACGCATTCCCAAGCACGTTCTGGGGTGACGTTGCCTGCCTGTGTCAGGTCACGTCAGCGGCGGACTGGGCAGGCGGCCTCTTTTGCTTCAACAACAACAGCAATGTAGCAACAGCGCCACCTACCGGTATTGGCGGCAGTCCTTAGAACTCCCAGCATCCAGCTCCCAAGCCAGACTGCTGTGGGAACCTACCTGTCACTTCCTCTTTTACCGGTGCCACCACCAACTAACAGCCACAGCCAGCTTGTGGAGGGCCGCCAGCCACTCGTCCTTCTGCGAGTTACAGCGCTGGACAACCAGCTGCACTGCCACTCCCTTTGGTTGCATCAGTGCACCATTTGCTCTCCTTATGCTGGTGCCTTCAATGCATCACTGGGTGTGGGGAGATTATTAGAGCTTTGCTACTCCAGCTCCAGGCAGTCACCCAGCTTCTACATTGGCTCATGGGCAGGCTAGTACTGCAGCCAACAGCAACAGTTGATTTAGCAGGACGATTCCACCATACAAGGAAGTCCCGCCTGTGATCGATACAACGGTTGTCCCTTCCAATCAGGACAGCCCGTCCTTTGGTAGCAGACGAAAACCAGCCCATGTTGGATGCCTCACCGTTTGCCCATCAAGGCGAAGGCCACCAACTCGGCTCTAGCAGAGCCTCCTCTCTTTAGTGCTCCCAGTGCCACCAGGCTCATGACAAATGAGAGGATCCCTTTGCAGCAAGTGCACGCCCAGGCAGGATGCTTTCAAGCAGACAGCTTCCAGGGCAGGTCAGGCAACAACCAACCTTGCTGGGCATCAGGTGTCCACCGTGTCTCGAAACGACACACCAAGCAGGATTCCCAGCTTGCTGCGTCCATCCCACCACCTGCTTCTTTGGTACTCCCAGTGCCACTAGGCTTGTGCCTAATGAGAGGATCCCTTTGGTAGCAATGCCACCCAGTCGACCATTCCTTTGTCGACAACCACCACCACTTTCTGACAGCAGCAACAATGTCACTCCACAGGATGAGTCCAAGTTTCGAACCACCATGGTCTCAGTCTACCATGTCTCCAAGGCAATGGGGAGTCTTCAAGTGTTTTGGCATGTGGTTCCATAATGTGTTTGCTTCCATGATGGCCCACAGGACTGGATCCCTCCAGTCCGTGCTGATAGCACCGTCCCTGGATTTCGGACGGGCAACTAGATACGTCCATGTCTGGTACAGCCCATCCATCCCATCCTTCAAGGGACATGATTGCGAGGCAAGAAGGCCGCTCCACTGAGAGCTTTCCACCGCTGAATTCGGCCAGTGGCAAAGCCACAATATTTGTCTACATATGAAGAAGACAAACAACAGCTATGATTGCAACCAGCACGCCGCACCTCCCGAGGTTCTTGGCATGTGCATGGATGCAATCCCTTTATGTCCCTACCTTTTGTTCAGCAACTCGTGCATCCGATTGCAAGTCACTCCACTTGTGAGATTCCCATCTCACATTGTGTTCCACTAGCAGCCGATGCTGAGTGGCCCGTGAATGTTCCGTTCATGGGAGAGTATGTATTGTAGTTAGTTAGTAACTAATGGTATATCGTGGCATTCCCATGAGAGCGGATCCATACGCACTTGTGGGGAGCGATAAAGTCAAGGAGCGAGAGCTCTGGATCCCGTCAGAGATAGCTCCAACAGCTATTCTGGCCTACAGCTCCAGCACCCACAGCTGGCTTATTTCCAGCCAAAGCAGCAAAAAAAGGATCGTCCTTTCCATAGTTAAGAAAATAGTATGAAAGATTGAGACCGATAATGATTAGCTTGTAGCCCATTTGATAACGCAGCAGTTGATACCAATTCTGTTGAGGCCGGGCAGAAGCAGTAGGGGTTAGCAGATAGTACTGTTCCCAGACTGCCACTGCACGATGAATCACGAAGGCCCCCAGATCCTGAGGTGAGCTGGCCCAAAGGTCCCAGCAGAGAGCTCTGCTGGCCCTCCTGTCTGACTGACAGGACCAGTCCTTGGTTTTTGGTGCCTATGGAGGTGTTGGAATACTCCTGAGGCACGACAAGGCTCCCTGACTGCCTGACTACCGCTGTCCTGAGGAAGGGTTTCAGCGAGATCCAGTCCACTACTTCAGTACTGGAACTGACCCTTCAAGAAACTTATTGTTGCAAGGTGGCTAGAGCTTCCTTCCTTGTTCAAGGGCACACGAAGAACGATTGCGACCGACTCTTCAATCTACTGAAGCACCAATGGAGGAAGACCAACACGTACACTTCACAAGACATGTTCGATTGCATGAACAGTCACAAAGACGTCGAGCCAATCATGGTGAAGCAGTCGGTATTCAGAGACTGGGCGACACAACAAGAGCCAATGATTAAGCGACCAAGCAAACAGACCAAGCAAAACCACATCTTCACAGTGGATGCCGACAGAGACAGCAACATCATGTACATTCAACAGTATGAGGGCGACAAGGAGGTTGCTTGCAATGGAACTAGTTACTGATGAATACAAGAACAAGCCAACAAGCTTTTGGAAGGAGCTACCACCACCAGAGCCACTTGCTGCTATAGGAATCCAAGACATCAAATGGAAGGAGCTACATGATAAGTGGGGCACATAGGGGCTTCTCTACCTGAAGACAAGAAGAGCGGCTCATCTACTACCATCAGTCACCACCACAAAGCAAGCGAAAGGCAGTCAAAGATCAATCCAAGGAAGCTAAAAAACAAAGGAAGGATAGGAAGACCACTGTGGTGCAGACTGATACAATGAGAGCCAACATCTAATGGAAATGTAAGTGAAAATGAGGTTGTTTCTTGTTGCGGGATTGCGTTCCACCATGGTCGTCTGTGAGCTAAAGAGTTTTTTCCGATTTTCTCGTGATCGCGATTTTAGACGTCACTGCAGCCCCGTACGATGCAAGACGGAGTGGTGGGGATTTCAGTCCGCTGGGTCTTAAGTGATGCTCTCCAAGGCACTTCTCAACAGCACAAGTTCAGCACAAGTCCCTGCAGCTTGCTGGAAACATAGTGCAACACAAGCACCATACCCTCCGCCTTATGTAAGGCTTCCTTGACGCGACTGCTCAAGCACCTTCACAAGAAAGAGTTCAATTGGGCTAAGACTGAGATTTAGATCCAGGCTGCAACTTCCCTGGAGGATGATGCCATCCATACGATTAATCTGGCTTCCACCCTTGGCTATGGTGTGAATAAGCAACAACAAAAAACTGCACAGAGAGACTCTGTACGATTGAGAATTATTACGGTTCCAGGGTGGAAGTCCGAAAGGTACTATTCCTATGTACAAATGATGTTGCTTTCTGGCAACATCTTGGAAGTTCCCGATGTTTCCAAATTCATGTATTTACCTACCATCTGGGAGTTGTTGGGCTTTAGTTGTTATCGTATGGCTTTAGTTGTGCTTTTGGTGTGGCTATCATTCCCTCATTGCATAGCCCCAAAGCACTTGCTGGCAATATAATTACTATTACCAATGAGGATCAGCAGGAATACTGTGTTTGTGTGACAACAAGCTGCAGGGACTTGTGATGTTGAGAAGATGCCTCGGAGAGCATCACTTAGCCCGCATGCACAACAGCCAACTACCTCAGCGCATTCACCAATCACAAGACTTTTGGATGTGGCCAAAGACACCACAACGCACTCACTTGAAAACTATATATATATTATTGATGGCTCATACAACTGTAGCTAGCGCTTCGTCCAAATAATGAAGCGCGTCCCAAACAACTTGACAAGCTCAATACCGACAATGAACATTGACACCGCGAACATACAATACCACCACTTGTACGGGGCAACGAGCTGTCCGTCACGGAACTCTGCCCAGCCAAAGACGAACAGAATGACTTCCCCTGGGAGCCCTTTTTCCAGAATCTCCGCGACGTTGAGGACAACCACACCAATATCGCTCACGGTCTTTATGAGCGACCCAATCTCTGTAAGAGTGTCCTCAAGCACTCCAGCTGGAAGCACCACGTCCAAAAGGCACAGCAGAGTGTTGTCTTGAATAGCATCCGAGAGAGAATTGAACTCATCGCTGGTCTCAATGCTAGTTGAATTGTCATTGAGCAGGCACTGGGCAACCCCTGCACCGCCCTCTTCAATGGCATCCACAACGGCATCGAATTCACTGCTACATGGGCCAGGTCTAGGAAAATCAAGAACGAAGCACGGCATGAAATTTACTGCCACGGGCTCCACAAAACAGTCATTCTGGATGCCGCAGTCAATGAAACTTCCCAATTGACCGATCAAAGAGCTGTTCCAGTCGACATTTCGAGAGGGCTTGCTCTCCGCCACGAGGTTCAGGAAGGTCGAGGCCTGATTGGCAGCGCCTCCCGAATCTAGATCAGTTCCGCCTTCGAACAAGAACAGATTGGTTACGTTGCCGAGATCACCAAAGAGCGTATTGTTCAGGTTCGAGTTCGAATTTGAGCCACGGCCAGGTGCCGGTGGCTCGTCAGGGAAAAGCTTGTAGTGGTTATCACCAAGTTCGTTCGATGTCAATCCCTGGATCACGTATCTTCGAACGGGAAACGAAGCTTCGTGAGAACACAAAAGATCCAGTGGTCGATTCGCCAAATTTAGCCCTAGGAATGAATCAATCGAATCCTACCGTACCTCAAAATATCTGCCGTGTTGGCCCATTTCCAATAATTCGGCATCTTGTCGTATTGGATCAAAAATCCCATGAAGAGCACCGATAGAATAGTTGTCAGGCCAGCCAATCCGTTTGCCGCCTCTTCGTTTGGCGTCGTCACGGCATAAACTTGACCTGAAGACAATCAACACAGTGGTTCTCGTAAGCAAGCAGCACCAGCACCGTAAGGGTTTTGCCCTTGGAACGCATTTTGTCACTTACCGATGGACGTGAACGCCCAATTGCACAAGAAGATCATGAGTATGAAGTAGGCGGGCCGATCATCGGTCAGTTGAAACCCAACAATAAAATAGAAACCGAGAAACATGAGCAAGCAATTCAAAATGTGGAATGGAATATCTGCAAGGAGGGATGAAATAGCATATGACCATCTTGAGTACAACCCAGACGTCGCCTCTCTGTAAAGCACAGCTCGATCAGCTATCAGCGGAACAACAGCCGCTTGCATAGGGACAACAAGGACAAACACCAAGAAGAACGTAGACCCAATCGTCAGCACTGCTCCTTCGATCGTCGACTTGTCCGCACCGAAAAGAATACCAAAGTAGATAGCCAAGAGGGTCGAACAGAAGATTCGAGTTACGGCATAGGCTGGGTTTCTCCACTGCGTGATCAACTGCCGTTTTGTCAAAATAAACAATTCTCGTATTCCGCTCTTTCGCTTCGCCACTTCTGCTTTGGTGTTCTTCATCAAGTCCATGGCTGCCTGCTTTTCTTGGTCGTTCATGCTGTTCTCTTCTTTCAGCTTTGCCATGAGCTGTTCGTGTTCCGTAGACTTCTTGAAGCACTCTTGTGCTTCATCTGGTGTCACGCTTGATACGGCAGAAATGACGTAGTCAGCAGGGTTACTGTTCTCGGCAATGTTTGCCGTTGACACTTGCGAGAAGTAGCTGACCACTGTTTCTGACTTTGCGCCCATGGGGCCCATGTAGGCAACCTTGCCACCTTTGGCTAGAAGTAGCAGATCATCGAAGGAATCCCAGATTACTACAACGACAATCGTTGGTCAAAGACGGGGGAATGTGAGGGAGGAACAAAAGCAAAACGATCATCGCGGCCATTCACACGGACGCCTTACCTTTTGATGGCTGCACGAGAGAATTCCAGGAGGCTGGTTAGAAGAATGTATGTATTTGCTGCAATTACCACTCGAGCACTTACTTGGTGGATTGTAGCCACAGTGATCAGATTCATCTCTGTAGTGGAACGACGAATGGCCCGCATGACCAGGTTGGCGGCCGAAGTTCCCAGTCCAGTTGTCGGTTCCTTCAATACGACATGGACAAGGTTCAGTTTTGAACTATCGCACAGACACATGAACTAGTTTGATCAGAGCATCGCGAGTCTTACATCCAGGAATAGAATTTTGGGCAGCATCACCAATTGAACGGCGATCGTCACTCTCTTCCTAACGTGCTTGGGGATGCCCTCGCCCTCTTTTTCGTCGCCAATGACATAATCGACCCAGTCCTCAAGGCTCATCAGATGAACCACATTGTCGATCACCGCAGCCCTGTTCATCGACGCTGGGAGCCTACAACTGGCAGTGAACTTCAGCGTCTCCAGGATCGTCAAGTACGGATTGAGAAGATCGTTCTGTTCTGCATATCCGCTCAAAAGCTGCCATATCTGCCTGTCTTTAGGAAGACCGCTCAGAAGCAAGTCACCCGTGATCCTCCCTGAATTGCAAACAATCAAAACGGTGAACACGTGTGTCCAATGACGCGATGAAAGCAATATGTGTCATTCTCAACGTTACCTCCAGTTTTGTAACCAGCAATCACATCCAGCAACGTCGTTTTTCTGAAGCAATTGTATGGCAAAGGAAAGGGTGAGAAAAACACCAGTCGAACTGATCTATGCCGAACCAAGCAAAAGAAATCGTCATTTACCCTGCTCCACTTGTCCCCATCAGAGCAGTAGCCCTTCCGGCCTTGAACGTTGCCGACACACTCGTAAGCAACTGCAATTCATTTCTCTCCTTAGTTTTGGCGACATCCGCTTTTCCTTTCTTCCTGCCCAACAGCAATGGCCCAAAGATGGCAAGGGGACTGCAACGCATCGGGGCCGACTCCCGTTTCAATGGAACAAAGTAGCAAAGATCAGAAATAGTGAGACTCGACGGCCAAGTCAATGGTTCGGGTACGCCTCCTTTGCCCTTGTCGGCTACAAAACTCAAGGATTTGCTGAATCGCTGAGGTCTCCGAATCTGGCTGAAGAAATTGCGACGGCCGCGTTCCATCAAGGCCAAACCCACAATGTCAATGACAATGGCGAGGATGAACAGCATGATGATATTGAATATCTTGATTCCCTGATAGTCAGTCCATGCAACACGAGGAAGCTGAAGTGTATCAAGCCACGATTCTCCAGGGAGAGTGCCAACTTCGGTATCGAGACCATCACCACGAGAAATCGTGGCAAAACTGAGCTCACGACCAACGTACTCATTGATCGCCAATGCTTCAAACCCATAGGCAGGTGGCGACAACCAAGAAATCCACTTAAAGATTGCGGGTATTTGCCCGTACTTGGGCATGAAGCCTGAGACTGTCGAAAACAGAAGAGTTGCCACTGAAACAACTGATTTGGCAACCACTTGAGTCCGAGAGATGGAACAGAATAACCTGCCAAGGGCAAGGCCAACACATTCCATTGCCATCATGACTGTCACATGCCGCGACAACACAGAGGAAGGATTGCAACAGGTTAAGTGTCTCATGTTGTCAAAGTCAAGTCAACTCTCTAACGTGTCATCACTTACTCCCCATAAAGTAGAAGAACCTTTCAGGCTTTGGATTCATGTCCACCCAAAAATAGGACGTGACGGAAATCAAGATGGCCTCCACAATACTCAGGGGAATCTCGTACAAGATCTGGCATACATAGAAAACTCGACTCGAGTAGAATTCCGACGACCTATGCTTGAAATAGGTGATTCTGTCACGGATGTTCTGTGGCACAGTGACACCTGTACTTAACAGCAGCACCAAGAATTGCATTTGGAACATATAGGCAGTCCGGGCCAAGCTCGATCCCAAATCCTGTTTCAATACGGAGAACAAACTTCCCACCACGACGCCAAAGAAGACGGCCACCACAATTCGAAGATAGGTACTGGGATTTCGCATGATGAGTATGGCTCGACGTTTGCCCAGAATCTTAAAGTTGTGGCCCATCCCAGAAGCATACTTGGTTTTGGGCAGCAAATCCTCAATCGACACGGCATGGAACTTGCGATTGTGCATCCCCTTGAGACGTTGGACCAAGGTTTCATGTTGGGGCGACTCCAAGTATCGCTCCCGAATGGCTTCGGATTGTTCTTCGTCCATCATGGGATTCAAGCACACGTCGCAAATGCTCATGCCACCCGCATCAGCAGCAGCACCACCATCCGTATCGTTGCTGCTGAAGATTTGCTGCAAGGTCTCTCGATCCGTGGGGGGCCCAAAGTATGTCAACTCTCCGGCATGATTGAGGACAAGTAGGTTGTCAAACAGCTCCACAATTTCGTCTGATGGCTGATTGAGCGAAATGACTGCGGCGGATTGGAAGGATCGACAAGCACCCTTGAGTTCCTCGACAATGTTGAAGGAATCTTGGGAGGAGAGTCCATCGGTGATGTTTTCCAATCCCAAGAATCTAGTTCCGTTGGCAACCAACATTTCACCCACAGTCACCCTGAAAACGATCAGAAAACACAAAAGCAAAGGATAAGATAAAGTTGATTGAATGAATCATGGGAAAACTCATATCGCAGAGAAAGAAGTAAGTGTCAGTTAGTTTTACGTACCGTCTCTTTTGCCCACCACTGATACCGCGAAGGTTTTCATCTCCCACGACGGTATCGGCGGCACTGGTAAGATCCAGAATTTCCAAGACTTCATCGACAACATCATCAATTTTCTGGGCGGTTTCATCGGCGGGTCGCGTGCATTCGGCGGCAAACCTCAACGTCTCTCGCACCGTCAACACGGGAGAATGGGTAGAATCATCGGCCGAGACATGAGCCGCAATACGTCTCCATCCTTGTAGAACAGACGTCGGAATAGCAGTCCCATTGACGCGGATACTGCCAGTGACACTGTACTTGTCACTGAGACGTCCCGTCAAGGTTTGAATTAACGCCGATGCGTACTGTGTATCGGGTGAGAGCACCAAGACCATTTCGCCACTTCGCACAAAGCCAGTGGCTTCTTGGAGGGCATAGTACGGAGATACCTTGGAGACGGCCCAACCAAAGGTTTCCATGGCATAGTAACTGAGTGGTTGGTGCAAACAGGGACATGAAGTCAAGCCAGGGCAAAACCCCTTTTCGCGAGGGACATAGACACTCAAATCTTGAAAGGTAATAGTAAAGGGTGACAATGTCTGAACGTACGCCTTGACACTGGCACGGCTCAGATTACGCTCGAACACTCCTCTGTCCTTCTTCTTGGGTGCCTCAGTCTCACCACCATCATCATTCGGGGTGCCATCGGTAGTGATCAACGGGGCTTCCACGCCGTTGTCGCCGCCTTCCGACTCCATCTTTTAAAATCGGTGCGAAAGAAACGCCTTCTTATTATGACTTTGAGCTTTGAACCTTCACTTCCACCGACAAAAATCTATGAGAGATACAACAAACCTTGGATTTGCTGATGAGAAGCAACAATTGAGAAGACCCTCCAACAACTAACTGCAGCGAGCCACCAATCCTGTCAAGGAAAGTTATCAACCAGCACACAGTCCTCTGAAGCTCTTATAAGCACTTTTTTCGGGCACAAGAAATGATGAAGGGCCAAAAGAGGCGACGACGGTGTCAAGTCAGAACCCCAAAGTGGATGCGAACCCCAATCTTCCCCAATTTTTAAAATCTTGCTGTAAATGTTAAAAAAGCTGCCTTCTTTTCACAGTTCTCCTTTCGTATATCCGAAAATCGAACAGCTGATGACGCACACCAGCATTCCTACGTGACCTTCCAGTATCAAAACACTTTTACACTTTTACCTCACAATGAGATAACTCTATTCCCAGTCCTGCACTGGAGGTAGACTACCTGCACCTATCTTTTACAAAAAGGATTCAGCCACAGCAACACTGAAGTTATTATCTTACAAGCAGCCCAATCTCAGTGTCTTTCATATCTTATTGCCACTAGCAGCTATTGTCACATACCCCTTCTATTTTTTACTAAGCATGCCCTCAGAAAATGAGGAGCCACCACCACAGCCCAAGCAGGCAAAGGTGCAAAGCCAAAATTGATGCAATCAAAGATGTTATGGTAGAGAAGGCACTCCGATGTAGATGGTGATGTCAAAGATAGTGGGTACTAGCTGCATTCCGTCCCCACATAATGTTAGCTAGGATTTGAGACCTCGTACTCGTAGCTTATCTTGCTGGAACCCATTTTCCAGGTTAACATTTTTTGTAAAGTTGAGGACTGGGTATCCTAAACCTATTTATCTTAATTGTGAGTGAGGCGCTTACAGACAACTTGACTGGCGAGGTGCTGGTACTGCACATAGGTTTTAGGGGGGGCAAGGCACCCCGCAGGGGGGCCGGGAGGGGAGGAGGAGAGAAAAAGAAGGAGAGGATTAGATTCCAGGTTCCGAATCACGACGCCATTGTGGGACCCAAGAGTCATCCATCCTAATTTCTCGAAAATGGAAGATATAAGGAAGGAGGGGGTAGTGGCAAGAAAGGAGGGGGTTTCTAATTGACGCACCTACACGGTTGTACATAAGCTAAACGGTATTCGAAGTGTGTCCTTGCTTTGAATGATCTAATCAGTTACATTTTTATCTCGCGCCACTCTTTCAACCTCATCCATTATAGCCCAACCCAGCACAAATCGAAGAGCGATATCGACCAAATCGGTGTGAGGAGCTACCAATACTCTACACCATTCAACCAGTTTTGATATGGGTTTGACAGCATCCTCTTGGTGTGGACGATATAAGATGGGAATGTTGATAACTGGACCGAGCATCATTGGCATCTGTGCTGGTTGTTGGTATAGCATGAACTGCGGGGTTTGCGGTGGGGGTGGGGGGCAAAATACAACCGTATGGTAAGGGAGGAGCTGGTGGCACTGGTGCAATCGATCGAAACTGTTGCTGTTGTTGTTGTTGCTGCTGTTGTCGAGCCGACGTTCCTGCCGTCTTGCTGCTTGAACGTTCGCTGTCGCTGCTGTTAGATAGTGCAGATGTTCTAAATAACTTCTTCTGTGTTGTTGTTGTGGTAGTAAACCGAATTTGAATTTTGAATTGTCATTTAGTGGCGGTTGACCGTTTTGTGGATTTGAATTCGAATCTTCGATCGCTGGTTCTTGGGTTGGTTGTGTGGGTGCCACAATCGCTGCTTGCGCAGCTATTAATGGTGGTGCAGCTATTAACGGCGATGGTGGATCCACCGGAGAAGGAATTGGCGAGTGACACTCTTGGCAGAGACAATGGCCAATCGCGGTGTACTTCTGTAAGTGATAGGGCGTGTGGTTTATGGCTTGACAATATTCAGAAAAGAACCGCTCACCATTATCTTCCGGCAACTCCTCCACCACACGAAATGGAACAGCAACACCCAAATCCTTTGCCATTGTGTTGATGAATAGCAACTCGGAGTGATTCCAGAATGGCACCACCTTTTCCCATCCTGCCGGCAATGATCCTCTTTCCTCCGGTGCAAGCCTCATCAGCCTTCTCTTGTGTCGAATAGAAAGATTGTACCTTGCAGTTCCGAACAGATTGAGAGCATCTGCTAGGGTCCGACGCATACCACCGTTTGCGAAATGAGCGAACCTGTCATGGAAGCATTCCAGTTTCGATTCTCCTCTTCGCGAAAGCCACTCTGTAAGTTGATGTTTGCTGTTTGGATTGGGCGGAATAGCATCATACATTTGTTCAAGTGGCATTGGATCTGCTAAATGGTGGGCCTTTTCCTTGCAATTCTTGACAGCAGTCTTCGTGTCCGTGGAGAACAAGGTAATGCCTTTCACTGGATCAATTCGGCCTCTACCAGGCCTGGTGTCAACAGACGCGGTCACTTTGTATTTGCAGAACCAGTCATCTAACATCTGCACCATCGTCTCTGGTTCACGTAATCGCTTTCGAAGGTATTTCGCATATCGATCCCGGAACAATTTGGAGGCTTTAAGATCGGCAATCTCAGCAGAAGAGTAACACTTCCCATTGACTGATAGAGAGCCGTTTCGGAGGCACTGAAGAAGCTTCTCATAATCTGAAGGTTCGTACACATACAAGCAACAGAGCAGGTCATTCAATGCGTCCATGTAATCGATATGTCCCTTCTTCATTGTTGACACTATTCTCTTTTCGAAATGGAACAGGCCAAGACGGCCTTCAATTCCAGGGAAGAGTGACTCCCAATAGTCATCCTTATTTGGCCATGTATCACTGTACATCGCTTTGGGAGAAAAGGTGACTCTTGTGGACAGTTTTCTTGCTGCATGAGCAAAGTGGATTGTCTTTGTCGAAGGAACCAGAACGGCTGATGCTATCTCTCCGGTTAGTAGCTGCATCCCATAGCAGCCACTGCTCCAAGCTCTTCAGGTAATATCTTCACTGGTTGGAAGGTTGTGATCCTGGCAAAAGATTCCTTCGTTGCACTCGACACTTTGAATCTCTCTTGTGTGCCTCTCATTATCACTTATTGCCCAGGGATTGTTTGTTGAAGCTAATGCGTCATGAAAGATGTCACGGATGGTGTCGCCAAGTGGAGGATATTGTCGAATGAAGGTCCCGTCTTTCTCCAAGTATGGTAGTGGTTGAAACGTTGGATCATCGAATTTCTTGTGTTGTGACATGGAGAGGAAGGAGGAAACCTTACGGTGTAGGCATTGTTTATAGCACTATAAAGTAAGCGACTGCACAGTTCTCCATTTGCATAAGTTAGCATGATGTCACTGAAAACAGTTGTAGCTGTCCTCGATAGGCGGAAAAGAGACGAGTAGTGGTGAGAGTTCCTCTTCAATGCATATTTGGTCTCCACCGGGTACAAGGATGCTGCAAATGGTGGAATGGCAACCAACACTTCTGCGGCATTGGAATGGAATCGGTTCTTGCAACAGACACAAACCATTGACATGGTGATGCACCAAGTGACTTCCTCCAGGCCGAAGATGGGGAAGAGTGTCTTATTCTTTGAGAAGTTGGTTCGGTGGTTCTTGAGAACACCTTTGCATGTCGCATATGGGCAGGGAACAGATATGCCAAGCCGAATCCAGTCAACGTAGAGGAGTTTGTTGCCAACAATAGAGTGATAATGGGGCTCTAAATGACCGGGCGAATCAGGAACTGTCATTGTGATCCCACTGAAGTGCTCTTCGAATAGTGCCGGGTCTCTACCGCCAGGAACAATAATCTTCTCAGCTACTTCATTAGCAAAAGCTACCATGGCTAGTGGGGGACCTTTGGACTTGTGTTTCTGAACAAATGACTCATCATTAACCATATTGCCCACAGCCTGACACAGAGTCTGTGGGGTCACTTTGGCAGGTGGTTTGGCGCCCTCAGTTTCGGTGCCCTCAGTTTCCATGTCGATTGTAAGTTGTCGGCTTGTATGCCTGTGACTTGCTTTATTCTTTTGAGGTCTGGCCGTGAAGAATTTCTCACCAGCTTCTTTTGTTGAATGTCGCCAGCTACCCTTTTCGCTTGTCTTCAAAGGGGCTTGGTAATGCTTCTTGAGTCTCGCTGCCTCTTTGTTGGCTTTGATGCTGGCTTTGTTGGAGATCTGGATCGCCTCTGGTCTCTGTATTTTTGACACACCTTGGGTGATGCTTCCTTTTGGGAATTCGAACTGGTAGGCCTGCTTTTCTCCTAGAATAGGCCACGCACATTTCACATTCCTTCAGTGCATCAAACGCCACCTTGCCATCAAGGGTCCCCTGTGTGCCTTTCGCTTTCTTGGGCTTATGGATTGCTGGCAGCGATGATGAGGCTCTCTTTTCTTGGGAATTTCCTGTTGCTTTGCCTCCCCAATTTCTCCATTTGAGCCTCAGGATTGCTGCTCCTTTCATCCCCATTCTCTTGGGTGGCTGCAAGAGTCATCTTGAAGTGTTTTGATCTCAAGATAATAAGACATTGGGAGAGTTAATGGCAGATAAGGAGCGGCATGGAGTGTCATTGCCTCTTGCTTTCGATGGAATCTTTCTTTTCTGTTTTCGATTTCCTCGAAAATGGTGACTTGGATGCACAGTGGTACGTAAAGAGATGCGACTTGGTGTCTATGTATTAATGTGTCTTACATGTGTCTTACTTGAGTTAACGGTACTCCTCCACCAATCATACTCCTGCCTTCTTACCCAGAAGTACCAGAGCCACCGCTGGTAATGCCGTAGCATGATAGATGCTACTGAGTAGCTCGCATGCTACGGTACAACAATGCTAATACCAGTGGCTGGGACCTGTGCAGCATCATCATCGCGTTCAATCCGTCATCAGTCAGAATGCCCACAATTCAAATCTTCTGCAACTTGCAAACAGCCAAGCAAAACAAACTTCATCAAATCAATACATAATCTTCCAAGCACAATGGTGGCTCCAATGAACGATTCATCCACTTCCTCCGTATCTTCCAAGGAGGAGCGAGCAACTCTCTACGAACGGCTGGGGGGTGATGCCATGATGAACATTATGGTATGGTCCTTCTTTGACGAATTGGTGGAGCACCCTGATATGAAGCCCTTCTTCAAGAACATTGCCATGGTGGCAATGAAGACTCACACTGTCAAGCTCTTCAAAGTGATGTTCGGTACCGACGAAGAACAGCCCGATGATGAAAACCTTCGTGAATACCTTCTCCGAACTCACACTCGACTCTTTCGAGACCTTGGACTCGACGCCGGTCACTTTGACACTCTGGCGGGCTGCTTCGTCGAGGGTCTGCAGAGC